ATATTTATATTTCTTCTCGCTTCGCTCTTCGTTTTTCTAGCACTCTGTGGTGACCTAATTAATCTCGTAAGTCGTGATTTTTTACAACTACGCGTCGTATCCCGTAAATCTACTACTGCGGCGATGGACGGGGGTACAACCCTATATATATATATATATGTATATATATATGTATATATATATATATATATATATATATATATATATATATATGCGGCGTTTTAAGAGATGACAATAATGAAATATATATCAAAAGAAAAGCCCGAGAGAAACGCGAGGTATACTCTCCCGAATTTACGTCACGTCCAACACGCTGATCGCCCAGAATCGCGAAAAATTGCATCTCTCGCCGTTCTTCCCCGATTCACGCGATTCGATGATCGACGATCCAGCGTTTATGTCGAGACTCGTACGTTATAATACATATTTATATATAATCTGGTAATTATAGAAATTTTATAACGCGCTCGTATAACCTCATCTAATTATCTTACGACTTAAATTACTCACTAATAATACTACCAAGTAATCTCAGTTATCGTATAATCAACATTTTTCTCTTTGATATGTGCGTTCGCGCTTTGTCAATGCCAAGAAAATATTCGAAGCGTTCGATCTTGTTGGATCGTTCACAGCGTGCGTATTGTGTCCCTTTTTTATTCCGCTATATCCCGCGTTATTTTATATCCACGAGTATCGTAACTATTATATATCATGTCATTCGGCTGAAAGAACAGTGACGTTCTTATTATACACGATCGATTCGATGCGGAGAACAAATTTGTGTCACTCGGCCCTTTTAACGACTCGCCGAAATTTGAGGGATCGTTTTTGATCCTCGTCGCGTGCCCGGCTTTAATCTATCGACCTCTTGTCACGATGTAAAAATTCCTCTACGGTTCTCGAAAGCTACGTTAAAAAGTATGAAATCAACTAAACTCTTAACGTCGCTTAAAGTCTAGTTCGGAGCGTTTTTGCGAGCGCGCGACGGGTTCCGTATCCGTATAAAAGATAACAGCTATCGTCAACTCTAAACGGTACAACGTATTGTGCATTCACATCAAAATATAAAAGGACCTAACGGATCACATATATATGTATAACAATAATTTCTTCATCCTTTCCCACGCGAATAAAAGTCTCGAAAGCCACTTTTGGAAAAATGAAGCGTTTGTAAAAAAATAGAATTGTATATTTCAAAAGGATTTTACGAGAGAGACGCGCGTCCTTATAAATTAAGAAGCATCTGATATTATTCTGTTTCGGATTGAATGCACCAACTAGTAAAAACTTGTTTTCGTTCTCCTTTTCCTTCACGTAAATTTATCCCTTGTGTAGGGTTGCCATCGATGCATTGCATTTTAGTCTTGACAAATTTGCCGGACAAACCGAAACAATTTTCATCTTTCGAAAACACACTCCGTCTCGTCGCGTTCATCTCTCGAACGTAAATTTACACATGTATGTGTGCATGTATGTGCGTGCATATGTGCATTGAAATCAATTTTATTTTCTTCGATTTAATTTAATTCTCTTCTTCTCTCTCTCTTGTTCGTTATTTTCCAACTCTACAAATAAATAAATGTGCCTGCGTACGTGCATTTTGACAATTTGATAACGCAAAAATCGAATCAAACGATTTTTATGTACTAAAATATAGCACATATATTTTATACACAACGATAAATATATATATATGTGTGTATGTAAGTGTATATAACTATAACTATACATATATAATTCGAGTCACTAAAAAGTATCCAAGTGAGTGGCATGTCTTGTACTGAAACCTCTTCGTATCATTATTTTGGAAGGGGAAATATATCATGAGACAAACTATTTCCTTGCATACGTTTATAACCCGGCAGATCACGGAAAGTATTAATCTCTCAAGTCGACATTGGAAACCAAAACTGGCCATCTCTCTTCGCCAATGTCGATGATGTTTGTCCTATGGTATATTACAAAGCATAAATTACGCGAGTACCGCTGCGCTTTGAGCCCTCCGGCACGACCTTCGACTTATCACGCGATTCACTGCTAATCCGCTTTCGTTGTTTCGCTCACGACTGACAGACTAATCCTTTTCGTGTCCCGCACACCACAGCGCAAAATGCCTCGCTACTATTCTCCACTTTTCTCCCGCAGCTCGTACACATTTCCCCATTTATGTTCGACGTCACGAAGGAACCTAGCTTTGTTTTCCACTGGTGATCGCTGCTAAATCCGAGGGGCAGTTTGCCGCTAGCTGTCACGTCCGTATCGAGCGATTTTGATTACATCTTTTCCTTATGCCGAGCAAAAGTTCATCCGCTCACGCGCCTCAGAGATTTTCATTTCAGAAATCTGATCTTGTGTTTCAAAGTTTGCCTACACGATTTAAGAATAATGCTTTATCTTTTTTCCACTTATAATCTTTTCAATTTCAGATATAATTTACTCATTGGGTAGAAACCTGATGTAAGACTGAAACTACTTATAATTAAAGTCTCGTGGATAAAAGTCTCAAAACGGTTATATCGACAAATAAAATTTCATAAAAAGGAAGAGAGTTTAGAATTAATTGGCAGTATTGCCATGCAGGCGAAATCCTTTTTCTCAACGTAATGCTGAAAACTCTGTCGCAAAAAGGAGCATCGCTATCTCAATTAATGATCGACACCTTGAAGGGAGGTCATACTGTTGCCAAAATTGCTGCCATTCATTACTAGCATCGTAATTATAATTTTGCCTATATTCCGAGTACCCGCAAACATTTGCACAATTTCTTTTTCGCAAGCTCATATCATTGTAGTTCAACTATTCTTCATCGTTCAAATAATCGGTTACGTTTCACGTTGAAAAAAATTGATACAACAGATTGCAACAAAATTTCGTCGCGGTCTTAATATGTTTTGGTACTCTTGCTTTCGTTCTTGTTATTACAGATCTTGACATTATTAGTCCTGGACATTAATATTCCGGATCACCGGTCAACTTTAGCCGCTCTTTCTAGGCATAACAGTGTGGCTCACGACGCTTTTCGTCGCGTGAGAAATCAAAGTAGCAGCACGGAATAATTTTATAGAATAATCGAGCGCGCGAATCGGATTGCACACGTTGCTACGGTTTAGGCAGATCAGAGAGACAGGTGGACATAGCGTCGGAAGGCTAAACGTAAAATAACTCATACGGCGCGATGCGGAGCGTAAGCTGCGAGAGACCGTCCTCCACGTATTCAATATCAAGATCATATAGAAAAAAAATATTGTTATATGCGAATATAATATACTTGTGTACATATAATATATTCTGCATATAATGCGTTTCGCGTCGCGCCGAATTTTCTTCATAGTACGTACGAGTTTGATAATCTAAAATTCGACTTATCAATTAACGTTGACAGTATTTTTTTTATATAATTATGGTCTCTTTCTTATCTCTTTGCGCCACGGATCGATTTTTGCGTCAGCTGTGGGCTTAATAAAAAGCTAGGCCGCTTTTAGGCGTTCAGGCTAGAGTATCACTTCTCTGTTTACATCTCTCAACGTGATAGGTATAATAACATTTTCCTCTCATCTCGTACGTTAATCTAATCGATATCACATTATAACTATTATCTCTATGTCCTTAAAACGTATCCTTTACAAACGCTCTTTACAACACGGGTTCTATAACTTGAAACTTAAAAATCGTTCATTCTGTCACGCTTTAACCCTATACATATTCCTATATTTCTTCTCCTTTATCATTCTCTCTCTTTCTCTCTTTCTCTCTCTCTCTCTCTATCTTTCCCAATCTCACACACATGTATACTTCCGTGAATTCGTTCATTCTGTTACCCGTTTGTCTTTACTGTGTGTACACGTACAATAACCATAGTAAGTTAATATTTTCTAACGATACCTTTTAGTAATAGTGCGTCGTAATGTAATGTCGAAAACTTGAAAGAATTTAGCGAAAAGAAGAGTTGCTCAGAGATTATCAAGCGATGGGATATCACGGAAAATGCAACGACTCTTGCTCGTTTCTTTTCACGAATGTATCATAATAGTGCGTTATCTGCATGTTCCGTAATTTAACGCATATCGTCTTGATACTTTTCTCTATGAAGAGAAAATGTCGCACGAGAATTCGTGCGTAAAGTGCATCAACAAGCGATACAAGTGGTCTTGATTGATTATAAGAATCCTCATGCGATGTATCAATTTGAATATGCGATTTGCAAGAATTTTCTCTATGCACTTGGGAAGGTCTGCTTTCGCATGTCGCTTATAGATTATAGTTACGAGATTAATGATAGTAATTATATTTAAGAGGAAAAAAACACGCTCGGAATCGGATCTAAATGTCTTACGCGAACGAGACGTATTGCATTATCCGAATGGATTCACTTAATGCTGATCAGTAATAAATAAATTGCTACGATTTTAGCGATTTTCCGTGATAGTACTTATAATACATTTTCTAGAAACAATGTTTTGTTTTTTCTAAATTAAATTAAACATTTGAAATGAATTAAATGAATATTTTCTATCTTATAAAATTAATGCTATGCATCGATGAACACATTTTTTTGATACTGTTTGAGAACCAACTCTCTTTGTTCCCTGAACTTGTTCCTAACGATTTAACAAAATGAAAACCAAATGAAATATAATAAACAAAGGCAAGATCAATTGATTGCTAATCAACGTATCGCATTTTTATCGCTATTCTATCTTATTCACGTATCAACAGCAACATCCGTTCCGATCGTATACTGAAAATCCGGTGCGACGGTCGATCGTTTCGTTTAATTGTAAGACATGTATTTACCAGTGTCTGAATTATATCGTTTAATAAATCAATATTTGGATATTTTTAATGATATCTTTTCAACACATTTTACGAATATAAAGGAAACATTTTATATTAATTGATCAAACACAATTTTATTTTAATTAAAATATTGTGATAAAATAATTAATATAATGTATTAGAACATTTATTATAAACGTAGAAAGAAATGAAATATTTTTTGCACATTTTGTAATTCTTTGATGTAAAAGCTCACATAATATATATGTTATAATATAGCATTGTTATTAGTAAAATAAAAAGAGAGACACTGTAAATGAAGTGTAATATATGTATACATTCGAGATTCATGAGCATACATCATTTCGTCGTCGAAACGAAACGTCGAACAGCACACCGCATCGAGTTGAAATTTCGTGAGCATAACAGATTAAAGTTATATCGACCTATTTCTACGATTAGAGGTAAAGAGAATTCTACTTTAGAGGAAATCGGCGAGCGGTCAGATCACTTGCTCTCTCTCTAAGGATAACGTTATATATAATATATTCGGACACGTGAGCGTGCCAAGGAGTCAAACGAGAAAAAGTTGTCTATACCGACGAAATAACTTTGCATTTTATATAAATTTGATATTATTACTATCGATTGTACAAGTATATCCGAAAAAACGCATAAAAAAGGTTTCGTAAATGCACGAATCAAGTGACATCTAATGCGATATGCACATTCATGATTAGAATTGGAAAGCTTTTGATCAAGAATTGCTATGTAAGATATAATTTTTTTGTAAACTTTCGTTGCAAAAGTCTAGTCAGTGAATTAATGGATATTGTACAATTAATTGGTCTCGCGCACGTACCGCTTATCAAACAACAAGAGAACGAGAAAGAAGAAGAAGAAGAATGAAAGAAAGAAGAATATGACCAGAGAGACTCGAATTATACGTGTTAAAGAATTCTCCTACGAATTATATAAAATTATGCTAGTTTGGTCCTTGGCACGATCGGCTAACGCGCTCGCCATGCCTAAATAATAAAAGTAGCGCACTCGAGCAAAGTGGTACGCTCGATTAATCCTTAACAAGACGAGTATTTCGTTTCAGGTATTTCAAGATTTATACAATATGTACACCTCTCGCGCGACTATAAGAACAAAACGCCTCTGCGTGATACACAAAATTGCTGTGACCTGATGATCGGTGACAGTGCCGTGTGCATGTATGTGTGTTTACGTGTATATATGTACGTGTGTGGACGTTTGTGTATATGTGTGTTCATGGGTGCTGCTCTATTGCCGTTCGATCATTAAGTTTCCTTCACGCGCACGCGGGAAGGTAATGACTGGGTTTGCGCGGTTCTCTCCTCGGTTAGCACCGCGGGGAAGAGTTCTCTCGTCGGCCGAGACTCGCCGACGACGATGACGATGATGATGACGAGACTCGTAAGTGTGCGTCCGTTCGCAGACGTGTCGCCTTTCTTTCCGGAGGAGGTTCTAATACCTCTGCTGCACCGGCTGTCCTACACCGGACAGACCAACCATTCGTACTCGAACATCAGCGAGACGGCGACGAAGACAAAGTAGAGGATGAACATCGTGAAACCGAGTCCCTTGTTCATTTTCCATCTGAAGCAGGCGATGCTCATGATCACGAAGAGCAGCATGCAGAAGAGTATCGCTATGCTGCACACCATGCCCACCGAGTTCACCTCCACGGGTTTCCCGTAGATCAAACCATACAGGAGCCACGGAACCGGAAGCCTGCGGGCAGAACCAAAGCGCAAATCGAGCCTATATTCATTGCCCGACGATCATCGTCCCTCGAGAGAGGTATACAGATAGAATTAAAAATTTCTACGCTCCAATTTTTTCTTTTTCTCTGATTATTGTATTTCTTTTTTTAATTATCTTTTCTCTAATTAAAAAAATAAAATGTATTGTACCTTTCAAATGTCAATATTCTAAGAAAAAGAGATGTAAGTACTAGTTGCAACAACGTGAAGAATTATGTGAAATTAACATTTTAGTTTAGTGAAGGTTAATTATGATCGACAACTTTTTAATTAAATGTTTGCTTATTCGTCATATTGAGTTTACCAGCTAGTAACTTCTAAAAAGTCTTGAAATTATATAAATATTTCTTTATAGCTCTGAAATATATTAATTATTTTGTAGGATGCTTAAATGTTGTCAACCTGTCAAAAATTACCACTACGTATATGTATATTTTAATCGTTTATTTTATTTAACATTTATTTAATTATTTATTTAATAACATTTATTTGATTATATAAAAAACTGCATATATTCGTTATGATATTACGTCATCACACAAATTGCGAAACGTGGCACGTGCTTTCGATAAAATTTTCCAAATATATGTTTGCATCGTTTGTATTACGAATTCTATTAGATTTTTTACAGCTTTGTGATTACCAATGTGGAATCATCCGGCAGCATCGATCGGGTACAAACGTGTGCGTGTGTGGGGGTTGCGTTTTCTTTAAAGCATATCTCTTTAAATATATATATATTTGACGTACATTATCTATAATTCATATTCGTCTATAACAATATTGTCGACGTTTCTTGGATATATATATCGTTTGACGTGCAGTCGTATTCGCCCCCGCACAAATATGGAGAAGTATTTTTCTCCACTTTCCTTTCAAGCTCTCTGCCAGTTGGCAATCGTTCGACGAATGCATGGTTATGATTGATCGCCGATGAAAAGGATCTGATGTTTCGTCGAGACGAACAATTGCCAAGAGAAAGAGAGCTATGGAGGGATGTGCGATCAATTTCGAAAGATTGGATCTTATAGCCGTGAGGACAAAGTGGAAGACGATAATGAATTCTTATCAGTGACAGCCACAAGTTGCTATACAAACTTTGCTTTTCGTTAAAGATTGCACGAGAAATATTACGCGCAAAAATCACATAGACTAAGAGTGTTAAAATTGCAAGATAATTTTGTTTCATTTAATTTTTGTTAATGTCGAAAATGAAAAATTCTTCTTTTTACTTTTAATTTTTCGTTTACTGTTAATACTTTACAGATCTACAATAGATCTGTAATAAGTGAATTTGAGTGTAAGCAGGTATAAGGAGCTTAAATATTTAAGTGCGAGCTCAGAAATTAAAAATTGATAAATTTTTGTTGCTTTGAAGCTCATCATGTAGTTCGGATACCGCGCTCTTTATAAGTATTTATTTTTATTAAATAAATAAAACTTCACTATTTAACGGCGTAAAAAATGAAATTGTTTCATGTAGAGATTTTCGAAATTTATCTGCAGAAAATGAGACATTTGGAATATTATTTGCGACATTTGCGCCGACAATATAACAATGCCAAAGGATGAATAGCGAATGCGATTATAGTGAAATAGTAAGAATATATCGACGGGTTTGATTTGACTACCAATTCCATACGCCTCTTCTAACTCTGTTTAATCATCGGCAAAATTCTGATTCATATTGCATGCGCAAACGTATGTTACGAGAGAGAGAATATATGTGTGGGTATGTATGTATAAAATATATATATATATATATATATATATATATATATATATATATAATTAGTACCTATACTAAAATGTACATAGGAGTACGTATACACAGGAGTACTATACATATGTATATATACACATTGTATATATACATAGTATACAATTAAGTACATTGTATTTGCACGTACACACGTGCGAGGGAGTTCAATAATTCCGATATTGCACGATTCGTCTATTGAACTCTACTGTGCCATTGATATCTTACGAACCATGATCGTTTCTGCTGTCTATCAATTTCCGTTCTTTAAAGATCTCACCTATTGTTTAAGTAATATCGAGAAAAATTTCTGCAATGGTTGATGATATCAGCTGATGCAAAAATTATGAATTAATATTGCATCTTGCAGGAATAAATGTGAGTTTATAAATTTTTTGAAATAGGAGAATTTCTTTCTGAAGTATATTATGTTTAATTTTTTTCATATTTCTCTGAGTAAAGAATAAAAATAATATTGTAATTAAAAGGAAAGAGAGGAAAACAAGTGCCACGTTAACGTTAGATATTTTTTTAATAATGAATAATAACAATGACAAAGCTCTAAAGTATCTTGACAAAAGTTTTAATGCAACAGAATCTATTATATTTCTATAAAAGATATTAAAATTTTAGGTATTAAAGTTAGTTATATAATTAATATATAATTTTAGTTATTTCTATCAACATATGTTGTGGAGTATTTAAATATTAAATCAAATATCGAATAAAATATTGAATATATTAAAATATTCAAAATTCCATTAAAATATTTAATCCCATTAAAATATTTAAAAATATTCAATATCCTATACGATATTTGATTTTATTTAATTATTTCATAACATGTTGACAGATAACAACTAATTATATATTTATAATGATTGAATCATAGACATATTAAATATATGTACATATCTTCAAAATAATGTATGTTTAAATATAAGCTTAAATACTGCTCTATTCAACATTGCATCATATAATTATGACAACTATTGATTATGCATATTCTTTACACAATATTATTATTATATTAATAACAATAGCACAGTTTCTTTCTGTGGTAATAACGTCTGCAGACTATTATAATAAGCGCTCCATGAAATGACAATAAATGGAAAATGATGAAAGACGTTAATCGCGTATTTCATTAATAATTTTCATTAGCTGGGAGTTTAGATATATTATAAAATTTAAAAGGGAGGATTAAGAGAAAAGAAGAAAAAAAATATTATCCTTTATTAAATTAGAGACCTAGATATTTGCAGTCCACGTTTTGATATTATTTTGTCGCAAAATGTTATCCTGATATATTGTTTTTCTCATTTCGTTCGAACGATTAGTGTTACCGAAATTTGAGATTGATATTCTTTTCCGAAGCTTTTCGGTCTCTTTGGCACACGGCCCTTTTCGGTTAATCGATCCTTCAATATAGTGCGACGTAAATGGGTCTCGGATTCAAAAACAGGAAAAGCAGTAGATGCTTTCAGGAGTGTATTAAATTTCTTCGTTTCTTGCGACACATTTTAGTATCTATGCTATTTTGCTTTTTATCGACAAGAAAATTTTTGAAAAATTATTGCGTATAATATTTTACGTATAAATACTCGCAGGACATTGTTTTTTTATTGAATAAATTAAAAAGAATATTTTGTGTAGTTTTAAAACTACAAGTTTTTCCCGATTAATGTTAAACAATTGTAAAATTAGTTGATTAAACAAATAATAATATTAATTTAATGATACAAATTTATTGACATTAATTAAATGGCAAATTTATAATACTTAAATTAATGACACTGGCAATCTCGGAATAACAAAATAATATAAAAAAGTTTTGCTTCTTTTTAATTTGTTTTCTCTCTTATTATTCATACCATACCATTCACTTTGTCATAATTTTCTCTCACGCCAAATGTTAATAAAAGACGTGTCGAGAATGCTTATCTTTCAACATCCTTTTGACATTTGTATCTCTATCGTTCAGTTTATGTATGCTAATTTATATTCTAAATTTTTTATTTTTTTATTTTTCTCTTTCTCTCTTTTTCTCTTCCAAGTTCGAGTTAATTCTAGTGGAAAATCAATATGACATTTTCTATACAATTCTCTTTCGAAAGATTTTCTCATCATTATCTTATCTTCTCATCTAATCTGTATATATTTATCGAATCTAGCAATATCTATCGTACATAGAGTATATCGTAAAGTTTTATTTACGTGCGGAATCAATGAAAAATACACGTTGTTGCGACTTTTCTAAAGTAGAAGGACTTTCTGCCAAACGATTTTCGCTTTCATGAATACGTATTTTTTAATAATACATATATTTTACTCTTATATAACATGTATATATTATTTTAATAAAATATTTCTCAGAATGATATTGTATTTTCATATTTTAAGAGTAATTTTTAGTTTTATAAAATTTGTCGAGCAATTAAGATATTTCTTTAATGGTTTCATCAAAAAATATTTTAATAATTACAACATTTATATAAACAATGATACATACACGAATAAAACAAAGTAAAAAGCGTAGTAAATTGAGAAATAAAATATTGTAAAATATTCACGCAATTTACTAAATGCGATAAAACAAAACAATATAAATGTAACAAGAATGAAATAATATCGATATTAGTAGATATCACTGGACGTCAAATTATGGAATTTTGTAAAATTGAAATTTTGGAATTTTTTGAAACAAAATGCTGTATACTTTCATACGTAATATATTACAGGACGACGCTACATTGACGAGATGTCTAAAAGATTTTGATGCTCACCCAACGGTCACGTCGAAGATGTTGCTGCCGACAGAACTCGAGACGGCCATATCGCCGTATCCCTTCCGCGCCACGATTACGCTCGTGATAAGATCCGGTATGCTGGTGCCGGCTGCGAGGAACGTCAGGCCCATCACTTCCGGCGGTATGGCTACTGTGTCGCCGGCGACATTCGCCCACCAGACCATCAGGTACGAGTACGCCGCGATCCAGAAGATCGAGCCGATGAAAGTTATCGGGAAAAACTTTTTTCCTGAAATTAAGCGGATGAATGGCATCTGTGACCTATCCCAGGTTTATATAAACTACACTGAGAAAAATCGCTTGATTGTACCAACAAGACGTATCTTAGAGAAGGCATTTTGATTAAACTAAACAGAATTTCTAGTTATCACGATAAGACCTGATTTTTTATAACTAGAACGATTAATAGTCTTTATAAGGATTTAATTAATATTTTCTATTTGAATCTATAAAACTTGTTATATTAAACATGGACACAGTGATGCCATTTTTTTTGTAAATTTAGTATTATTATTAACAGACATACTGGTTGAATCTACCAGATTTCTAATTAATGTAATCAGATTTTTTCTCAGTGTATAACTAAAATTTATAATTATAATATATAATTAATTTCGTTAACAGCGCTAAAAAGATATACCGGTATATAACGTTGATATACCGGACATTACGACGTAATCTTTTCCGTATCAAAATCAAGTCGGAAAAGACAGGATAGTTGCTGCGACGATGCGGGATGTTCTTTCACTCAATTATGCAGTCAGCCATGTGGCGCCAGCGATCTAGTCGCATCACTTGGTTTCCCGTTTCCACTAACGGGAGTAGTTTAAGTATGTTAAATGTGCTTGGTCGATTACCATTTCGATATCGTTGGCTAATTGATGTACGGGATCTGATGAATATAGTTCATTTCGAGTATAAAAATAATAAATCAGAATAGAGAATATATAATTATGGATATACAGATAATTGGCAGTTGAATATATATATCGTTAATAGAATAAAATTTAAGGAAAGCTATCAAAATTACAGAGATGTCATCAATTAATTAATCTAATGATTTAATGATGACGTAACTTTGTAGTTAATTGTGAATTAAATTAATTATTCATTTACAATCGTCAATATATTATTGTCTAAAAAGACAAACTTATGCCATTATTGGAAGAGTCCTTAGTAAATAGCATTTTTTCTTAGCAATGTAACAGCGGACAAAGTCGTTCTTTGCTAATAAAAATCACAAATTTTCAGATATCAGTGATGTATTTAACTATAACGATGAGAGTGAAGCTCGAGATATCTAATCTCGTAATTTAATAATAATCGAATCTCGGGGGTTTAATTTGAGAACGTTGGAACAGAGAATTTTGCTTCGAGAGGTTATTTATTGTTAATAGAACTCAATATATATTATATCATTATATAAATAATTTCGCTCTAGAAACAACGAATTCTTTGGCATTGGTTCACAAAACTAATTTATTTTCATGATTATGATTATATCCAATCTCTAAAGCGGAATGAGATTACAAAATGAAAATTTTCACTACTAAATTATTTTCCATATTAGCTTTTAACTTAAATAAATGAAAATACGCAATGAAATAATTACGCGATAATTAATTTGCTTAATTTAAGCGAGATTAATTATTCGGACAGTTAATTATTTGAAAAACGAGAAAAGAATAGCATCATAATTTTTTTTTAGTTTGATATAAAAAATAATCGCACCTATATTTTAGCAGAGGATACATTTGTTAACTTTTTAATTGATTTTAAGTCTTTTTTAACATATATATATATATATATATATATATTCTCTTTTTTTAAAGAAAGAAATCTATCAATATACATAAGAAAGAACTTTGCATATCTTGGTTTATATAAATGATATAAATTATATAAATTTATTTTTCATAAAAATATTGACAAATAAATAAAGCTATGTATAATTTGATGGCGATCTTTGATTCGTTTTGCGATACGTACAATCTCGCATTAATTGATTGCGGTAACGTTCATATTAATAGATCAGTAATCAAAGACCCATGATTGCTGAAATTCAAAGGACATATCGGAATTTTAGTTGACAATAGAATGAGTATGTACATATCTATGTATCCATGTGCAACAATCAGTCGTCGATGTGAAATTAACGTGTCAATATCTTTCGTCGCGGGTATTGTGCAGTATCGCAATAGAGGCGTGTTATTAGGCCGAGATAATGTAGGAGGCGTGTGATAAATGGTGGCTGCGAGATGCTTTGAATAATAGCAACGCGCGAATGGCGATCACGTTGATCTTAACATTTATTATTAAATTGGAACGGGAGCACGTACCAAATGCAATAGAGATTCACTCGACCTCGCGATTCCGATAAGCGGCCGAATAGTATCACCATATAACGTCTTCCGCGTGATAATCCACGATTATCGTTCCATGTTCTTATCGTGGGAATCCGAAAAAAAAACTTGATCCTTATTTTTCCGCCGCGCTAATCTTCGCGACAAGGTACTGTTACTTATTACACGACGAGAATACATGAAATATAAATTTATACGGCGAATTAGGGATAAATGCCATTTAATTAATCTCTTGTGTTATGGCTGAAAGACGAGTTTCATCTCGGCGAAATCGATGGCTCGGAATCCCAAATTCCCGGAGTTGAGCTAATATTACCTCGGGGGTCAATATATATACCGGGCGGGCAAAACATGGCGCGATGTTTGCGCTGATTGATAGGATTTAATCTGATCTCGGCGTTTTTAGCGAGTTAAAAAAAACACATACCTTCACAACGGTCTAGAGTTTTGGCCGTAATTAATGGCGCATTCGAAACACACGCTTCTCTACATCTTTTTCCCTTCCTCGGATAATATTTCTGACGAACGATAAATCGTCGTCCATGCGCTTCTATCAGCATGACGATCAAATATAATAATTAATGCATAATCAAATATAAAATTTAATTATTACTCGAAAATTCTTACATCCTATCGATTCTTATCTCTTGTAAGAGATATACTATATATTTATTATAGTTGGAGCAATTTATTGTAATCGAGAGAACAGATATTCTCATTTATTTGTCATTGCAGAAACCAAATAATTTGAATAATAAGGTAGAGTGAAATTGAAAGAGAAATTATTTTGACATATTCTTACATCTTAACATTATTGTCGAATATTTAAGATAAGGTATAAGAAAGATACAAAATATGAAGCTCATAAATGAAGCTCATAAATGTATTTATCGATTAGAGATACTTTTGGAGAATTAAATTTTCGTGTTCTTGAGGATTTCTATATTCGTTTCATAAATATCCTAATTGACTTTTCAGGAAGAAGGGACAGTCTCGCAATGGGCGCAAGATATGCAAATGAAACTGCTTAATCGCTCTTGCGCTTTACAAAGGATCTGCTTTTGTCTTTGCTCCAGTTTTCATCTGCTCCTCTATTCAGAACCGATTATTCGTCGGTATGGAGGAATCTAATATCGCTTGAACAGTCAACAGCGAATAAAAATATTAAAAGAAAAGGCTATCGAGAATTAGTAATGGCGCAAATATCCATCTATCATATCAATCAAACATAAACGATTGCAATAGATTTTCGCTTAATTTTTAAATCACAAATTTATAATAATTATAATAATTTTTAAATCACAAATCTATTCTATAATAATTACTCTTATTTAATTCTATAAAATATTAAAAATTATATCTTCTTTTTTATACATGTTGCGTTTTATACGTTATGCATAAGCTTTTTTAATCATTCAAACTGAGAAAGATAACATTGCAAAATAAGAGCGAGATTTATCACGAACGAAAAATAATTTGTTATATTATTCGTTCGTATTCATACAAGTATAAAAAGGTGGTTACTGATTACCTCTAGGTGTTCTCGTATCTGGTAACGTTAACCAAAGAGGAAATAAGATTGGCGCGACCAAGATGTAAGTCAGCCTTTTCCTCGGGCTGCTGGGCCAGCCCATATCCAAGGCCTCTGGAGGTTCATCCTCTTCGCCCTATGAATAAACATATCGAAGAGTTAAATTCTCCTTAAGTCGCATTTTCGCTTTAATCAAAGATATCTAAAACGTTAAATTAAACGTTAAATTTATTTATTTGCCATTTAAATGGCAATGTTTCGCCGCTCTCGAGGAATGCGAAAGTAACATTTATTCGCATTATCGAGGAATGCCGCAAAGCTCAAGAATCCTTTTAAAAACCACGAATTGTTGTAGCAAAGGCACAAAGTGTCTTTCCGTTATTCAGACTCGAGCAAACCGCATTACAATGCCATCTCGAATGCTTGTATAAACTATCGTTGTTTTCAGTCACGCCGTCATTCAAGAATGAGAATAAACCTAATTTCAGACTAATCCTCGTTTTGAATGTCTAAGCATTAGCAGGGATTATTATTAAAGGACAGTACTTGCCCAAAAGAAGAGTATTATCGCTCGAGTTAACGTGCAAGATCAAGACCAATGATTATATATAATTTTAACATAAATAAATTATATTATTTTATTGTATTTTTCGGAAATATAAAATTACAAAAAATGAAAATTAAACAAGCTTCGTCTAGTTCGATTAATATCGTCATGAGCCATTTATCTAGAATCTAATTACTTCGCTGTAAGCGGGCCTTAACGAGGCCGCTGGACCGAAACATTATATGAACGTTCCCCGGGTGCGTCTTTCGTCCGAAAATCCGGAAAATCGGACGGTTGGTGACTTCGCTGCGTTTATTCGTGAAGCGCGCGCGCGGGTTTACAACGTGCAGCGGACGGGTGGGATGCAGCATTGACCCAGATTCTCCGATGCATTCAAAATGAAAAGGTCCTCTCTCCGCTCATTTAGGACAAAGCCGCCTGAGACTACTTGCTGTCCATCCGGGCGTCGCGATACCAGCCAGCGCCGGCTAATATCCTCGAGAGAGCTTCAGATTAGTCGATTTCCGATTTATATTTCCGCAGAGTAACTTTCCAAATTACAGCGACGATTATGTATCCTGCTCGGGAAATTGTTTCGTCATTTCTTTGCGTCATTGTAACTGCGATCGACTGCAAGAACGAGAATTCTTTTGTGACAATAGCGATTGTTGCGATCTTTTTTTATGATTAAACGTTAAATTCTCGAGTCTTTTTTACTCACATTATGCTAGTTAGAAGTTGCATTGTTATCGCAAGCTATTTCTTTTTCGATTTTAAAACAAATTTCGTGAAAAAAAATGCTTTTCTCCACAAATTTTACACGTTTATTGTTATATTTGACGACATTTACAATTAAAAAATTAATTATCGTTAATATGAAAGAATTAATTATCGTTAATATGAGAAAAATTAATTATCGTTAATATGAAAACTATTCTTGTCTTATTTCTCTCTTAAAACTTTAAACTTGTAATAATGAAAAGAAGTATTTACGTGATCGTATAGTTCATGCTTCTCTTTTATGTCACGATTAAATAACGTTATAAAATTTTACCGTTATAAAAAATAACGTTAAAATAGAATAGTATATTGGCTGCGACATTTCGCAGAATATCGCAGCTGATTCAATCAGATTTGCCCAAGCTGATCTTAGTCGAAGGATCGTAAAAGACGAAAGGCGATAAAATTCGATATGGAGAACGTGCTACGCTTATACGCGATGTATTTTTTAAGTGAGTACTTCGGTGTTCTTCTTGTTGGACATGATAAATGTTAATATAGCGATAAAATCTCGAATGTTTGGCGCAAGAAAATGACACGACGCAACGTATCGATTAAAACTAAAAGTCATGCACATTATGGCAATTTATTGCGATCGATCGATCTGTTTTGTCGTCACTTCTCGAGACATTCCCTTTTAATTGGAATCACGATCAGTTATCTGTACTTCATTATGCACTTTGTCGAAAATTTGTTCCATGATTAAAAGTCGATCTAGCATCCCTAATGGAATGTTTAAGCGAACTTAAACAGAATTTTGATAATACACGTACATCACTTTCGAATCTTCCGGAGGCGTTAAAAGACACGAAGGGAGAGATGAATCACGATAAAATAGTTTGTCGAAGTTGGAGATCAGCGCGATGAGAAATGATGTGATTTCGAATATGTTTCTATCATACCATCGTTTTATCGAAAAGAATAATTAATTATTTATCTTTGTCATGCGTCGTACAGAGTTCTCGAGGTAGAGTTTTGTCTGATATCATCCGATAAACAGCCAGAAAGTTTAGATGGGTGATAATATTCGTTGCATTTTCTCATTTCTTATTACGTATATACTATCGATCGCGTTCGCCAGTCATTTTTACCCCCAGGAGAAGCGTCGCATTCGACATAGATAAAAAGTTATCGATTTTTTTGCTCTTTAGTTTTTTTTTTTCCTTCTGACGACAATCGTGCACGCGCCTACGCTGCAAGGTCCGATTGGATTCCCCGTCGAGATACCGCGACGTTGACGTGCCTCTGTTTTCACATATTTCACCCCTTAACGCGGTCGAGTTCGACACGGACAAAATAACCTTGGATGAACTTTTAAAGTTCGAAGCCGACAAATATCGAGCGTTCCTCTGATTTATAACCGTCAAGTTCGAGGCGGGGTCGGCTTGCCGCGCGGGTGAAAATTGCGGTTGTCCCGATAAGACTTAATGGATGAACAGACCATGCCGATTTATACTCGTGCACGTTTAAAGCTGCAAACGTAGTTCGATTATCGCCGCTGTTACGTGGTGAGACATTTACGAGGACGACATTTGATCAGTTAAATAACAATGTTGCCATTGGTAAACTCTCTTTCGACAGTGATATAATTATTGACGTGTCGCTTAAAAAATATGTAGAAGCGAGTATTTTATAATATGTAACACAAAATTAAGTGTACTTATATACATATACATAAATCTTTATCGTGTTTTGAAATATTACTTTGAGACACGAATCTTCGTTTTTTAGTCTAAATTATATTCTATTTATATAGCTTTTTCTCGTTCGGCAAATAATAAAAAAATGTTAACATTTTTGCGATAAAATTATATAAGAGAGAGAAAAAGAAAAATCGTGATTTTATATTAATACAGATGTCTCTCTAATTGAGAGAGCTCCAAAATATGTGGAGCGGAATGTTACATTCAGAATGACGTTCAACATACAAGTTAAAAAGGATTACTTTGCGTGATTCGTAGTATTGCGAGAATTAAACTGCCTATTCTAATTCAGGATATCCAAGTCGTGATAGAAGCAAACATTTCACAATGGAAAGTAGAGCATTACGATATCGAACTAACGTGCCCTTTACAAAGCACGTTCTGATATACGCGACAGTACCATTTCGTAAGAAAAGTTGCACTAATTTCAAAATTAGCCTATTGTACTTAATTATCGAGTTTTGAAAGTTTCTTTCTCTTGGAATATTTTTACACGCGGAAAATAACGGATATTCGAAAGGATCTCGTTTAAACGAAAAACATGACGCCACGATCAACTCAAACATTTTGTTAAGAAAAGTGGAACGACAAATTCCAATCAACGTATTCTCAGCCTCTTTGTTTAACGATGAGAGAGCACGAGAAACGACGAAACTATTTCAATCTCTCGGAACAGAATACACCGCATAACGAATTGGATCCTTATGCTAGAATGCTATTCCTTCGTTAATTAAGAGAAATAAATTTTGTACGACAAAAGGGATTACGTATAACTTCCGAGGACATCGATAGATTTTATTAAACGTCATGAATGTCATGAAGACTTCGTAAGAACTTTCACTACTTTCTTTCGTTACCCCCTTCTCTAAAATTTGTAAAAGTTGTTATATATTCGAGGATTTCAAAAAAAGATACTTCTTTAAATTGAATCAATGAAAATGTCATTGATTAAAGCGGACAAAATTTCATTAGAGCCGTGAATATTTCATTAAAAATACTCACTTTGCTCCTTCATCTTATGTTTCACTGAATGTACCACTAAGATTTCATTGAAGAATCAGCCACTACGATTAATTGATTCTTATCAGCAAGATTTCACTGTTTGAAATACTATACTAATCAAAACCACTGCTTATCAATAATGTACAATCGGAAAAATCGTTATACATTTTTTTATGAAACAGACGCTGCATTTTTTTTGAAACGATAACACCTGAAATTAATCAATAGACTCCGATCGGACTCTCGGCGTACGGAATCTCTTGTATTCGACAATTACCGATTCGAGGCCAGCGTCGAGACCGGCGGCGATACCGCCGTTAGGAAGTTCCTGAATGCCAGCGGTAGTGCCGGCGGTGGTAGTCGTAGTCGTGGTAGTGGTGGTGGTTCCTTGCGAGCCCTGCTGCAGCTGCAGCGTCGTCTCCTTCGAGGGAGCGCCGGAATAATGGGCGGCGGTCGACGTCGCGGCGCCGTTGTGCGGCCTGGTGGCATCCAGCAGCACCTTCAGCGACGCTATCGCGTGCAGCTGCGTCGCTTTCTCGTCCACCTTGCCTGAACAGCACCAGAGATGCAGGTTAATGAGACAGAATAGGGGCACGAAACGTTAATTTCTTTATTATGCGATCATCCCGTAGTCAAATTTATCAGCAAAAACGTAGGCGTCGCTCCGCGATGCAAATGCATATTTCTGCAAAATTTTGTAGATACGTTGAATAATTCGTTAAGCATAATTATTTAAAATTTGTCTTCTTTTCGAAGAGGACGAACGCAATGTCCATATTGCGTTGTCTATCAAAAGCATATCGTTATGTAGTTTGCTCTTGATCATGAAAAATGGAATATGCGAAAATTTGCATGTTTTGTGAAAAAATAGGATTTCACGCACTTAAATCACTTTATCGTTATCAAAAAATTATTAAAAGAGTTAATAAATGCATACGTAGAAATAACTTTTATTTAAATTTTATAATATTAAATTTTATTAATATTATTCGTATATGTTTGGCGTTGAAGAAATTCCTGAATAATTGATAAAAAGTGTAGGTAGATATTTCACGTAGGTAGCGAAAATTGTATTTAACTGTGCTAATTACAACGTTAGCATGTCCGAATTATTTTGTGTTGGAAATTGAGTTAGCCTTGCTGCTATATGCATTAGCGTACATTATAACGGAGCAGACTCGTTGCATTCGAGCAAATTTCGCTGCGCTTGCAAATTCCACGCTTCGTCGAGTTTCCGATTGCGATCAGGAAATACGGAAATGTCCTCGTAGTTCTCGCTCGCTTTTGTTCTTGTTTTATGCTAGATCGAGCACGCGAGACGTTTATACGAAATGTCGATGTGCGTGCGACGAGTATCGAACTTATTCTTTATTCGCATCGTCGATTCCTACGGTGCCGGAAAATACTGGCGTAAACCAGCGAGATTGAAAACACAACCCCGAGATAATCGCAAGATACGTCAAGGTTCATGCAGCTACGTTCTACCTTACTTTTACCCTACAAACTTACTTTTCTACGATCTTCAACTTTAAGAATAAACACAGTTTATTAATTTACTTGGAAAAGCCGTTCGATCTAAATCTATTGGCAATCCATCAAAGTTCTTTTCGCGTTCTTATAAATATTATTAATTATTATAAATATTATTATCCTACTTACTTATACAACGCAAATATAAGTGTTGGTTTTCTTATGATGTAGAGAATTCGAATAGACAACAAGAAATTTAATCTGCTTGTTCAGTAAGATTTTGCAAGATGGGAAACTACGCAATTAGTGCATTGCATTGAACTTTGGGATCTAGACAATATTATATAATGTGTATGTGTATTCAAACATACTGTTTATACAAGTAGTTAAGAGAGTAAAAAAAGTTAGTATGTAGAAAAGAGGAATTTTTTTTATTCAATTCAATCAAATATATACTATTCTTTTCATTTAGGACTGCGTAGTTCCATCTATTTTATTTCAAAATGAAAATTGAATTATTGAGCATAGTTAAGAATTAATGTGTGTTATGTATACGCTGTCAAATAAAATGTTTATTGAATAAAGTTAGTTAATGATGTGTGTGTATAAAGTAATTGTGCGTATTGCACGCTGCGTAAATCATTCATAATCTCTAATCTTCTAAAGTGATGTGCATGCAGCAGAGCATAGAAATGCATTCGATGAAAGAGAAAAGTATATTGGCAAAGTTGCAAAATTCAAACTTAAAAGATTAAGTAAGATGAATGCAAAATTATAGCTTTCATGCATTCATTTTCATACAAGAGCTTTTCATAAAAGATATAATCTTATTAGATAAACTTTTAACCTATTCAGACACCTGAATTTTTCTGGTTAGGTAATGTAAAAAATTATTGAATTAATTTTTATTGATGCTAAGGATTTTTTTATGATTTATAACTGTTAGGAATTTCCAAGTCCACCGAAAGATCGCAGGGAAGCTAATTCTAAAAAATAACTATTTCACATGATTTTAAAGTTTTGTGCATAATTGTGTACATAGGGTCTGCATGGGTTAAACAAATTTTTAATATTTTTCATACTTCTCGATTTTTAATCGAGTCCTCGTTAAAATTAATTTGTATTCAAGCTGATGCAAATAACTGCTACCAGGTGAATTTGGCGTGCTCGAAACCGACTGACATGAAATATAAATATATATAGGACCAGAACATTTGCATGTATAGATGATGCACGTCCGTTTCCGCTATATATAATCCATAGTGCGCCATGTATACAGATCATGCATAATTTAGGGTGTACATGCTCTATAGATAACTTCGAGGAGAGAATTCGAGAGCTCGATGGTCTTGTCGTTAAAAGGGATCATCGTTATTTCAACAAGTAGTCGATCAATCGACATTATCTATTTCTTCAAGTGAGAAACCTTTCCGTGATTGCAAAATCCTCCCTCTACATTTGTCGGCGACCTATGTTAATAAACAAAAAGTAGGTTTATCACATACACGTTTAATTAGAAATGCTTAATTCAATGGGAAGAAATTATTTTACAACGTGACAAATTAATAATTCATTTTATACGGTCGAGTATATTTAATTGGCCTAATGATAATTAAGTAACGAATGCGTCATATATAAAATTTATTTAGTTATATTTGATTACTTGTCTCACTTACTCGACAGTATTCAGACTGGATATTTATTTTAATTCATATCATATAATAAAGAAGAATAAAACTTTTAAAAATAAAGGACAGAAAAGAGAAATGTTCTATTATCAATTGGAAACGGAAATTTTCTCGCAGATTTTATGTAATCTCCTTCTCTTTTTATGATAAAAATAATTAAAATAATCGATGACATATGTTAAGTTATTTTTAAAGAAATTTTTCAAGACGCTTATATAGTCGGATAGACTATATATGGAATATATTTTAAGCAACTCTCTGTGAATCATTATCAGATTGCACTTGTCAGAAAATATCGCGGAATAATTAACAATCCTTCATTTTCGCGAAGCGGCTGCGAGGTGCTCCAAATATGTCGGTTACCGCAGCTTGCAAACTTTTACCGTTGCTCGCTAGGGATGGCAGCAGGTCAAAATAAAAAGTGGACGAATGCAAAAAATATGAGGAAAAATTCGATATTGCATGGAATTAGAACATTACAAATCGCGCATCAAAATATGTACAATTACATATGAAATCAACGCCACGAGAGAACCAATCAACATCATGGGAAAGTGAGATAACAATGAATTTCAGATTTTCAAATAATCGACTTTGCAATCGCCTTTTTAAAGAGCTAGAGTAAAATCGTTTTTGACAGTGCAACGCGGGTTTGTTATTTTTTTTCAGCTCTATATGCAACGTAGTGTCCGCACGCATACATTTTTTTCGGAAATTGAACCTACTACGATGCGAGTATATTCGTATGACGCTTTATAAAATTTGAAAAAAAGAAACGATGATGTTGCGCGATAAAAACTCGCAATGCGTCTGCGTTGTAGATTCTGTTTCAATCAAATGTAAAGTTTTGTTTTAAAAAGTAATATTATACTTTAATCATATTTGCAGTTCGAATTTTCACAAATTTACGAAAAAAAGGGCAAAATATGTCCAGCGATAGTGAAAGCCATCACGCAGTATGTCGAGAGCAATGTCACGTCACAACGCACGATATTTTTCACAAAACGAACTAGATCAAAGGCTACAGCTTAATTCGAGATGGATTGTAATATGATACAATCTAATAGACCGAACTGTGATCATCGTTAGTGTCCATAGTGTGAATCGAAGTTAAAAGGGCCGCCTAATTCACCGCTTATCGTGCTTCGTGTCAAGGGATCACAGATCTGCGTGCCGGTGGCAGCAGTAGGTCAAAGAGAAAAAGCTCATGTAAGTGGCCTTCATCCTTAAAGGTAGGAATGAGGCGAGAAAAGAAAGGTAAAGTGCCCAGAGCTTGAAAGAGTACGATGGTAGTATCGACCCCTAAGTTGCCCGGAGCAAGATGGGAAGCCGTGAAAGGAAATGGGTTAGAGGGAAGGATGGGTTAGAAGAAATGGCGAGGAGAGAGAGAAAGAGATCGGTTGGCTGTCGTGTCTCAATCTGTTAAACTCACAGACGATTGCTAGCTTTGGCATGAAAAAAGTTTCAGTCAGGAACGTAACGTTGAGAATCCGGAGATGGGCTTGGAAATGGGCTCGACAGGGCATAGTTAATCCATAAAACTCAATCAACCATGCGTTTATACTCAAAGCGGCCTGGCTCTATAATTAATTAAAGGCATCAGTCAAGGATGAAAGAAGTGAAATGATGTCGAATAACGTGCGAAGGTAACGATATGTTCGTCGGAAATATTTCTGTACCTGTTCGAAAGGAATTTTGTGTGTGATAGTTAAAGCGCGAGAAGAACTAACAAAAATGTTATGTTTCCTTTGGTGGAATAATAACTATGTTAGCAGATGACACGTTCGTTAAGTCGCCAAATCGAGCAGGATATTATTTGAATGTGAATAGAAGAAAGATTTTAAGGGTTTACTTTCGTTTTTCTAAGACTTTGGATTTATTTATGTTTAGTTAAAATTAAATATCAATCGATAATTACAGAAATTCTTTTGAAATTTAAAATTACTGTGTAAAATTAATTATATTAATACTGATTGTGTTAAAATATTTTATGTTAGACCAGATTTAAAATGCAAACTGCAAATTGTATTTTATGATTACAGCTTTTTTTTAGATTTTGTTCAATTTTATAATTAAATGTAATATAATATAGAGAGAAATATATAAATTAACTAACAAAATATATTATATATATATATATATATATATATATATATTTTAAATATGATTTTTAAAACTATTTTTTTTAACATTGTTTGTCGGTAAGAAAAACCTAAGCTCAGAACAAATTTTACCGCGTTTTTTTAAGAACTTACACATTCTGTCTAATATTTTTATATTTTTAATTATGAAAAACACAAATTTTTATTTCTATTATAATTTATATTAATTAATTTAGAAAATTTATAAAACTATGGTTAATTTATAAAATATGGTTTGTTCTAATAAGAA